CGTATTCATTCCTAATCGAAGGATACATAGCCACTTTAGGCATCACAACATACTTCAGTTCAATCGTTCATATCAACGAATATTCAAGCACACGCTCCCTACATCACCTTCATGCTCTCAACCGATCCATGATAACCACGTACTCGCTCACGACCAACAAGGGTCTAACCACACGAGAACGGAAACAACACAGCAGAAAAATCACAAAATGCTGTCATGTTCGCTGCCATTCGCCTGGCGAAGCCCCGCAGCAAACACTCGTTGGGACTCGCCCGACGAAACCCCTAGCGAAGCCAAACAGAAGCAAAAGGCAGCGTTCGCTGCCCAGTTCGCCTGGCGAAGCCTGGCGAAGGCTCGCCCCCATTCGCCCATCGAATGCACGCGAATTCTGCAGAAAAACTGCTGTTCAGAAACAACCCCACACTCCGATTTCGTCCGATTAAATCCCACGAAATCCTACACTATACCAGTACAGTACTATCTCACAAGACTACACCGATTATCCTAGTTCATACTCAATAAATCCTCAGTTCTACTCAATTCTCCAACTTCCGGCATTAACTCCGAATTTACCGGAAACCCAAAATCATCAAACAACCATTCCATAGCACATGCAATGAACTCAAACACAATAATCACAATTACAACAGAAATCAACAACATGCAACAACATAATTTCATCATTCACCTATGGGGTTTAGGGAATTCCTCGTTCTACCAATTTTTCATGCAATACCGAATTTAACCGATCAATCCCCCCCTTACCTCAATGAACAGTTTGATGATGTTGAACTTCAAGAATCCACACGAATTGATAGTCTTGATGATCCCCTTGCTCAAGTTTCAACTCCTGATCTCCCTCTTCCTGGCTGAACCGTGTTCCTCCTCTTCACGTGTTCTTTCCTTCTCCATTTTCTTTCAATTGCCAACTATGCCCTCAATACCCCCAAATTCTCTTTTTATTTCTCCTCCAAATAAACAACTCTCATTTCTTTTAATTCCAAATAATAATATTACTCCTCCTTTCTTAATTCCAAAATTAACCCCAATAATATTTTTAAATATAATAATAACAACAATAATATTAATAATAGTATTATCAACACTATTAATCATCATATTATTATTATTAATCATAATTTTCTAATATTATGGGATTTAATTCCTTAAACAATTTCTCCACATAATGCACCGAAAATCAAATAACACGGGAAAACTAAATAATTAAAAATGGGCGTTACAAGTTTCAGGTTCGACACGCGAGTGATTGAAATCATCCAGGCTGGGGTTTGAAGACAGAAGGTTGTTCAAACATAGAGTTGTAATCAGAGGTTTATTCACAAGCTGTCGAAGGACTTGATTCGACTCGAATCAAGGGGCAAGAGGAGATAGCATCTAAACCAACAAGGGTGTTCGTTTGTTTGATTGCTATTCAATTCTTGTATATACATTTCTACAACAGGTTAAATTTATATTATAAGGTCTCAATTCTATTGTTAGAATTGAAGGCAGATGTACCCCGAAGCGAAGACGACGGGGAAACTGCCTCAACAAATCGTTGCGTCTTTTGCCTTACATTTTACATTGCTTAATATTTGTGGTTTTTAGTGCAAACAATTATATCAATCTAGAACCGATTTGAGTAGTGCTAAACTGATTTTGAATCTAGTACAATCCTTGATTGTACGAGGAAATTTGAGCTACTCACTCAAAGCGGAACTCACTTGTTGTGCTCTACACGCCAAGTGTTTGATAAATTGTCTGAACCAAAAGCCTTGTGTGCTGCCCATTTATTGTTCAATATTTTAAGGTATTGGAACTAGTCATACCACATTGTGAGTTAAATCAAATTGATAGTGTGACTAGCGTAGTGATTCACATTACTTGTTATTGGATTCCATAGGCTTGACGCATATCCGGTTTTCTAGTAACCGTTCGTTATAGACGGTATTTTCCTTGGCCGCTTCCGCAAATCAAACAATTTTTCAAAATCAATTTTATTTGGTAGCGCAGACTCTTTTAAACAAGGGATCTATTCAACCCCCTTCTAGATCCGCACCATCGTCTAACACGTCCAAGAGGTCTCACCAACGTGGAAATCAAATGAGAGAAAGTCTCCGTTGATTTCGAGAAGATCGGTTAAGACCACATTCAGGAAGTAAATACCCTAGTCAACAAAGATTCATATAAATACTGGATCCATCACAGGGATAAAGGAATTCTCAAATCTTAACATACCATCAACCTAAATAGCCCGCTTGTATTAAATAGTCTAAGAAACTACCTACATGACTTCTTGCCACCGTAAGAAAGTCCTTACTACCCAAATTGTAACACAGCTACAAATATCTCTTAATTCCCCTCTAGGTCGCTGCTGTTTTGAAGATTGATTGTGGTAAGTTTTCTTAGGATGACAAGTTATGCTGGAGGGGCCTGCATCTTCCGTCCATGTGCAGTGTGTGTTTGAATTTCGAAGAAACTCTGCAGCATATTTTCTTTGCCTGCAAGTATGCTCAAAGCCCTTGGAAATGGCTGGCAGATCTGACTAATGGTCCTCCAACTACTTCATTGGATGATTGTTGGATGATATTTGACAGCATGATCGTTTGACGGAAATAATTTCAGGTATATGAACAAGGACTCCATCCTTTTACAGTTACAGTTTATGCACGCCACTTGTTTGATAATTGTCCTTTAATTTGCATGTCTATCAGTTTTATTTTCCCATTTCGCATCGCTCTTAACAGTTAATCATGAAACAAATCCGAATTCTTCTGAATTAATAATGGAGTAAAGTAAAGTTTGGAATGGGGAATAGATAATGAGTTGGAGTTCTATGCTCTTCTTCTTTTACCATGTAGTGTTGTGTGTAATTGCCACTATGTATTATGTGCTATCAACACATTTCTTTTTGTTTTGACCATTTATCATGTTTATTCGATTATTTGATTGCTTTGTGTGTTAATCAGAGCCGGCCCAATTAGGGTGCAATTAACGCAGTCGCCTTAGAACTTGGAGGAAGATAAATGCTTCCGGTTTGAATTGTTCAAGGGAAGCTATCCCTATGATGTTCACAACACAAAATGACCTTTCTCTCGATGTTTTCTCGAAGAGGGCTGTCTTGGTAGCTGTCTCAATGGCATCTATCTTGAAGACCTCAAAGATGAGAGTTCGAAATATGGAATACACCATTTAACAATGAAGGGTCTTTTGGAAGAGTTGAGGTGCACAAATTTACTTCTTTTTCTATCTTGGTTTGCTTTCCTATATTCCTATTATTACGGTGGCTTTAAGTTATAGTTCCTTAGCAACTAGTAAGAGTAGTATTATGCTATATGTGGGATAAAATCATGACTATTATGGCATTAAATCAAACATAAAATGGAAGGAGTGGCGGTGGCAGACAATAAGTACAAAAGAGTTTGAAATGGCAAATATATTAAGTAATGTGTTGGAATATTGTGCTCTCCTTCTTTAACATACATGTAGTGATGTGCGTCATTGCTACGATTTATTATGTGTTATCAACACATTTCTTTTTGTTTTAGACGCAAAATTGACATCAACAATAATTTAAAAAAATATAATTGATTGAATGCAGTCATATGTGTCGGTGTTGTGTTAATGTTGTATCAAACACATATATTTTACATTATAAATAAAGGAAACAGTCGCTATTAATTATTATGTGAAATTGGTAGCTAATGTTGTTGGTCATTCAAGTACAACTTTTATTTTTGACTTTTGATTGAGGATATGGATAGCTTCGTTGCTGTTGTTCATTGGCATTTCTATGTCCTCTAATCTTAATCTATATTTGGCATATGTACCATTGATGACTGCTTGCTACTTTCGATTACATGTTTTTATTCATTGGTTCTTTGGGTCTAACTCTAAATAGGTATATTTATGGAGCACTAAGGAAAAGCATTTACAAAAAGCTTAACTTATTGCCTTTAGCTTTTATCAAGTTTTCTTCATCAAAATATGAAGATTGAGTGATTTTATATTAATCTTAAGAGATTTGAGGACATGCATGCACTGCCAATCTAAATTAATTTTAATCTAACGTCTAATAAGAATAAACTATTTTTAGCGATTATTTTAGAATTGCAGTAATTAAATGGATTTAATTGAAATGCACTGACAGTGTAAAAGGATTTTACACTATCAGTTAATCATAACTGTTGGATATGAAAAGAAATTTGACTTTTATTTTAATCATCAATAAAGTAATACCAACGGATGATGGTGATGAACTGACAGTGTAAAACTTTTTACACTGACAGTGTATAGTAATTAATCTCTAATCAAATAGGTTTATATGGTAATATTGCAAGTTTTCATTGAAAGTCAGTGTAAACTATTTTACACGGACATTGCATCTCTTCAAAATAATCTTAAATATGAGTATTTAAGAATTTGACTCTTTTACTTAGATTCTCTTACAATGAAGCAGTGCAGTAAAAAAATCTGTGAGAAAGTGCTACAGCACATCTTAGCTTATAAATGTTTCCCCAAAAAAATCACACATCATCATATGTGAGTTTTCCTTGTTAAGATTTTTTCTTGCAGAAATTCTTTTTTTTTTTGTCAAATAGTTTAGTGGCGATAATCAAACACCTTAAGTGTAGAAAAGTATAAAATGTCAGTACCTACCATTTAAATTGTAATTACAAAACAAAAAATTTCTTATTATCCTTTATAAAAACTTATAAAAAGACAAGTGTCAAAAGAAACGAGCTACCTTAACTAAAGTCCAAATGTTATGCACACATCAAGCTGGCCCACCTTATATAACTAACAACATAACTAACTCATCACAAAGCTCACATCTATGTATCTTATTTACTTGGTTCACTTTCCACCCCCAATCTATATTTTGTGATGCATATCTTCCATCTCATATATTCTACACACACCATAAAAAAAAAACACACCAAAAAGAATCCATAAAAAACCCATTTGAGGTTGAGACAAAAACCATAACCAGAACTAGCATGGCTTGGTTAAGAAATCTCTCAAAATTTTCCAACATTAAATCATCTCAAAGACCCAATAAAACTGACCCATTTCTCCTTTTACCATCCTTCACATTTTTCTCCCATTTCAGTTCCCAACCCATTGAAGAAAAGCCTTATGTTAAGCCTGTTGAGCATTTTTCAGGTTTGGAACCAACAAAGCCTCATGAGAAACCAAGGGTGGTTGTGTTGGGTTCAGGCTGGGCTGGATGCAGACTCATGAAAGGGTTGGACCCTCATATTTATGACATTGTTTGTGTCTCACCTAGGAACCACATGGTGTTTACCCCTCTACTGGCTTCCACTTGTGTTGGAACTCTTGAGTTTAGATCAGTTGCTGAACCCATTGGAAGGATCCAACCAGCTATTTCTAGGGAGCCTGGTTCTTATTTCTTCCTTGCCAATTGTACTGCCATTGATGCACATAATCATATGGTGTGTTAAGTGTTACCTTGATATGATTTGTTTTTTCTATTACTTGTACACAGTATTTTAAATAGCTGCCGCATCATGATATGGGATATTGTGGAGAACTACATTCAATCGTGCAGTTGGTGCGGTTTCTATCCAGCACATGCGGCTGCGTCATGACAATAACACTAACACATCAACACTCGTAATAATTTGAAAAAACAGAATAGCTGAATATAATTACAGCTGTTGGAGACTGTAAACACCTTTAAAATTAAGTGTCGGGGCTAAATTGCATGTGTTCACTAGGAGTGTGAGCTACCTGTTACGTTTTTTAACATAATATTTGCTACCTGGAATTTAATGAAAAATATGTTATGAGACTAAGTATGAAATGTGTGTGGACTACTTTAAGTGATGGAGAGTATGTTACTTACTAAATTGAACTATTTTGTCCCATTCATATTGGAATTTAAACTCAATTTGTTTTTCTTTGCTCCTTGAAACAAATAGTTTGATACTAATTTTAGTTGGAATGTTGGTACTTGCAGTGTGGCTTATATGGGAAATTTGTATTTGATGTTTGGTTTTGAAGGTGCAATGTGAGACTGTAACTGATGGAGAGCAGACAATAGATCCTTGGAAATTTACTGTCTCTTATGATAAGTTAGTAATTGCATTAGGATCGCATCCTGCTACTTTTGGAATTCAAGGAGTCAATGAACATGCCATTTTTCTTCGTGAAGTTCGCCATGCACAGGAAATTCGTAGGAAGTTGCTCCTAAACTTGATGCTATCTGATGTTCCAGGTTTGCTATGATCTTTTAGCCCATGTTTGGATAAACAACTTAATTAAGCACTTATAGCAAGCATGCTTATCATATAATTGATTATGTATAAACTATTTGTATAATAAAAGGTAAAATAAAGTTAAGCTGTTTCCATATAAATTGTAGTCCCTCCATTCCTTATTATAAGCAAATTTTAACTTTTTAGATTCATTGGATAACAGATGTATCTGGTCTATATATAAACCAACTACATTAGTTATTCAATGAATCTAAAAGGTCAAAATTTGCTTATAATAAAGAATGGAGGGAGTAAGTTGTTTTCATAAGCTAATATGAAAAGCTTATGGGAATAAGCTTGAAACATCATACAAACATATCCTAAGTTGTTTCTGTAAGCTCTCTAAAGTACTCTCACAAGTGTTTATACTAGTAAATAAGATCAAATGAGTCAATCCTAGCAAACCCTTAATCTTTATGTTAGAAAAATGTATTGTTGAGTCATGAGACATTTAGTTTTCTGTTTATTACTTATGTGTTTTATTTGGGATACAGGAATTCCAGAAGAGGAAAAGCAAAGGCTTTTGCACTGTGTTGTTGTTGGGGGTGGTCCTACTGGAGTTGAATTCAGTGGTGAACTTAGTGATTTCATAATGAAGGATGTACGCCAAAGATATACACATGTGAAAGATTACATCCGTGTTACTTTAATTGAGGTACGTTTAACATCATAAAAAATTTAACGCAGTTATGGAAGCCATTTTTTGTTTAAGTAAATTACCATTTTATTCATGCCAAAGATGTCTTTTAAGGTAATTTATGCTGTTAACCAATTTGTTCATATCCTATTAGGCAAATGAAATATTATCTTCTTTTGATGACCGACTCAGGCTCTATGCTACCAAGCAGTTGACAAAGGTAAGCTATATCTTGATAGATGCATTCTGCAATTTGGAATTTTACATATGAGTAAAATTTCAACATTATTCATTAACATTATCTTGAGGTGTTTTTGATTGGTTTTATTGTGTCTAAAGACACTATGTTTATCCTAAGAATTATAATAGGACACCTAACACTTCGGCATATTCTAGAAGGTTGTAGAAGAAGTAAAATTAGTTAGTACATTCCTTAATTTTAGGGAACTTCTGTTATAAGAGATGGGGAAGGGAAGTTGAGATTCATTGGAGCACGTCTCAAATTCTTTCACTGATTTTCTTCTAGAGATACTCATGGAGGGTTGCTGCCATTAATAAGAGTTAAAAGTTTTAGGGTCGACTAGAGGAGACCCTTTCTTGGCAAGTGAAGGAACAATCACAGTCAGTGGCGGCAATCCTCCATGTGAGTATCTCAAGAAGAAATTCCCTAAAATCAAGGAATATCATAACGAACTCTTATTTTATTTCTTCTACACCTTCTAGAATATGCCTAAATGATAGTAGTACTGTCAAATTATGTCTAACACATACAGATGAACTCTTCATGATAGTTGTACTGTCCGAGTTGACAAGTTAGTTGTTATAAGTTTTCCATATTAGTTTTATATTTTCCAATATTGTAGTTTATCTCAGTCAGGAGTTCGTCTTGTTCGTGGCATTGTGAAAGATGTTAAAGCTCAGAAGATTATCCTAAATGATGGTACTGAGGTTCCATATGGTTTGTTGGTATGGTCTACTGGTGTTGGTCCATCACCTATTATTCAATCTTTAGATCTCCCAAAAGCTCCTGGTGGAAGGTTAGTCTAATTAGCATCACATCACACCGTGTTATCAAATCAAGATTCAAATTGTAAATCAGAAGACCTTTTTTTTCCAAATCATGAATCAAATCTTATCATGAATTGCAACTTAGATACATTTTTAAATAAAAAACAAGTGACATAACAAAACTTTAAGCTGAAATATCATGTATGAAGTTCAAAATAATTTGAAGATTCAAGTCATATATCAAATGACAAAAAAAGTGGTTGGTTATACAAAGTTGACCGTAAAAAGTAGCTGGCTACACTAAGTTTAGGCAGTAATTCATTAAAATGAAATGAGGTTCATCATAGTGAATTGAGTTTCATCATAATGAATTGACATTCAAGATGAAATACATGTCTAGATAGATACACACATACACACTAGGGATTCGTATCAAGTGAGTTCAATTTAGTATCGAGTGAAGATGCGGCTCACTTGTATTGTAAGATACTAACGACCATGCTTCACATTGAAAACCAGGAAAATTTACGAAGTCAGCTAATTTATGGATAAACTTAGATCTTTTATCTGTCACAGAGGAAAGAAGGATTAGCTACATAGAGTGGCCCCAACTTTTCTATAGCTTATCATCTCATAACCAAATTCTGAGGGTTATTTTCTTTTAGGGTTGGTGTTGATGAGTGGCTTCGTGTTCCTTCAGTAAAAGATGTGTTCTCAATAGGTGACTGCAGTGGATTTGTTGAAAGTACTGGAAGACCAACACTTCCAGCATTGGCTCAAGTAAGTGATATTTGAAGTACTGGTAGACCAACACTTTCATTTCATGTTTTCACCCTTTAGTAGTGCTGCTAGTTTCAACTTTTCCAGAAATTTTGTTTTCGGTCATTTGATGCATTATCATTTGGATTTCTCAGGTGGCAGAGAGACAAGGTAAATATTTAGCAAATATGTTGAACAAAATTGGTAAAGCAGGTGCAGGACATGCAAACAGTGGAAAAGAACTAGAACTTGGGGATCCATTTGTGTACAAGCATCTTGGAAGTATGGCAACTATTGGCAGATACAAAGCTCTTGTTGACCTTAGACAAAGCAAGGTAATTAATATTAACATCATTCCCAAGCTTTAAAAGCTTTAATGTTATTATTATTACCTTACCAGCCAAGCTCATGCAGGAGGGAAAAGGGATAGCACTGGCAGGAGTTCTAAGCTTTTTTATTTGGCGCTCGGCATATATTACACGTGTCGTCAGCTGGAGGAACAGGTTCTATGTATTTATCAACTGGATTACAACTCTTGTGTTCGGCCGTGATATAAGCAGACTATGAAGAAGAAAACAGTGGCAGAAGAAAGAGGTAATTGACTACCAGGCTTGAACCTTGAAGAACAAAGCAATGAAACTTGCATCTTGAAACCAAAGAAGATTCATTTTTCTCTTGTGGATTTTCATAAATCAGAAGTATGGCCATCCTAAGTCCTATTGTATATATTGAAAATCACGAAATCATTTTTCATGCTCATAAATAAACTATTCTTGAAAAGTATGATCACAATGAAATCAATTTATTTATTTACGTGTACATAATATCCTTTTGTTCAATAGATTATTGGATTGAAAATAATTGTCACAAGTTACTCTTGCAATTAATATTGTGTTTGAATGTATAATAGGAACTTAGGATAGAATAAAGACAAATCATTATTTAGATAGTATACAAGTAATAATGTGATCACACTGCTCACACTTTATTATTCTTCACAAATCAAAATAGCTTGAAGAGGGATGATGATCTTGAAGTTTTCTGACTTCCCAACCAGTGCTGCATATGGACCCCAATAGCATCCAAATACATGCTACTCCTCCCATGAAAACCTACCACCTTTCCCTCTGTTGTGGTTGAAGTAAAAAATTTCCCTACTTCATCACCAAATGGACCATATTTTCCTCTACTAGTATAGAAAGTCAGTGACTTAATCACTATATCTTGTTCATCGGTAGTAATCGAACCATAATAGCCGGATATGCAAGACAGAACCTCATTTGGATACTCCAATTTTATCTAAAAACACAATATAGACATTATTAGTAATACACGGTATAATAAGCAAGTCCTTTCTGTGTTAGCAACCATGAATATGCTTAAGAATCATATTCATACCCTATGTGTGGTGCTTCCTCCATTACCACCATGCTTCACAGACCATACGGATTGCTTGTTTCGATCGTACTCGATTTGAATTGAGCAAATTCCTTCAGGTGATTTTGCCAAATAAATCTGCTTAATATCAGAAAAGACTCCATCATCCCAGAGCCTACCTCCATCCCCACCCCATGGACCTGGTCCACATTGAGCTGGTTCTTTAACCACGCCACGAGAAACCTATCAAATAGACAGGAAATTATTTGAAATATGATATGCAACACTGAAGATAGTATAAAATAATTTGACAGATAGGTAGGTAAGTTTCATATTAACTGATGTATGTGTTAAATAACTGCTGATATCATTTGATTATTTGTGTTATTTGAACATCAAATTACATACACCTTTTGACTGACTTAAGAAATACCTCTTCAAGTGGTGCTAATTTAGAAGGCACAATTTTTGCCGGCCATTTAGCACCGTTTATTTCTGTAATACTTAGTTCTCTTGGGATGATTTCCATGGAGGGAGATGTTGCTACTGGCACTATTACTTTTCCTTCTATCACATGTACACCAAGAGCATCTAGAAATAAACCTTTTCTACCATGAATTCCAACTACCTTTCCTTCATTCAGCTTTGTTGTGAAATAAGTTCCATATTCATCTCCAAATGGTCCATAAACCCTTTTGGTAGTGTGGAATGTAAGTGACCTTATAGTAGAAGGCCCCATATACATCAAAGATCCATAGTAGCCGGACATATGTGTTAGGACTTCATATGGGAAATCAAAGATAATCTGCAAAATGATGCATAAAAATAATGTAAGCACTTATAGCATAAGAGTTGATTACTAAGGTTTATAAACTTTAGTTCACCTTTTCATGTTTGAATCCTCCAGCCCCACCATGTTTGTATCCCCATACAGCCTCTCCATCCAGATCATACAAAACTCTAATCCACACAATTCCAACGTTGCGCGACAAATCGATTTGTCTGATTCCAGTGTAAGGTCCATCATCAAAGACATATCCACCACTACCACCCCAAGGTCCATATGTGACCACACCTTCAACTATTGATGGTGCCTTCACCATCGAAACTATCTGAAGTCGATGAAGATTTTTCAGTTTCATTTATTGCAAACACCAAAACATGAAAAAGTTGAGAAAAACATCAAGGAACAGTACTTTTTTCTTACCTTTTCTTTTGGTTCAATGCTGTTGGGTTCTTTATAGGAGAAAATCTTCTTGGTTGGTGAAGCTTTGACAGAACTATCTTTCTGTTTTACAGCAACAACAATATCAAAGCCTTGGCTGACACTTCCTTGTATTACAGAATAACCAACATCCTCAGTAGTGTTAGTTATGTGGTTCTGTGAGTTTGACAATGCTTTGGATGGTTTTGGTTGCTGATAGGACCTCAAATGGACTCCAATGGCATCTATGTGCCAACCATACCTGCCATGGAATCCAACAATCTTAGCTCCTGTCACTGGCAAGGAAAAGTATGTTCCTTGTACAACTCCAAATGGTCCATAGATTTTCCTGTTACTCTCAAAACTCAGTGATCTGATGAAGATTGGTCCCCATTTATTTAAGCTACCATAATATCCATCAATGGATGTTAGGAACTCATTTGGGTAATCGAGCATGACCTGCACCACAGTCATAAATATTTAGATGATATGATGCACTAGTTTGATTAGTAAGCGTTCCGGCTTCAACCAGTGTTGTCAATCGCATATTGCAGAAGCTAACAGTTTGCTCAGTTCTGGGATGCTACAATATTATAGCACTGCAATAGTAGCTATTTAACAACACTACTAAATAGCGTATCGTAGAACAATAACGGTTAGCTAAGGGCATGGGAAATTCACCTTGTCAATTTTATGACCTCCACTTCCACCATGCTTAAGTGACCAAATAGACTTCTCATCCTTGTCATATTCAATTTGGATGGAGTCAATTCCTTCATCATGAGCTATCACCAATTGCCTTATTGTTGAATAAACACCATCATCCCAACTGTATCCTCCACTGCCTCCCCATGGTCCAACTGATACAGGTTTCTCCTCTAAACTCTGCACTCAAAAACATCATTCAATTCAAAAGTGTTAAAAAAGTGTGAAAAAAGACAAGGTAGTTGAACTTGTACACATATTTTGCAATAAAAGTATTTTGATTCATAAATAACATATGCTGCTATAAACATGCACTACCATCTTCTTTTTTCTTTGTAATTAGGCTAAGAGAAGTTGAATACAGAAGGCTGCAAGTGTTAAAGATGGCTACTTTGGAGAAGGCTCAAGAGGAATTTATGGTAGCAAAAAGTGGGGTTTATGCTTGACAGATTGAAGAGGCTAATTTGGAATCCACCATGAAGGGAAGGGGTTGAATGGTAGAGGAATCAGGTTCCATGTTAAAATCAAGTCTCATGTTAAGTATAAGTTTCATGCATTTGTGTGAGTGTCACTTAGCAAACAGTGTATTCCTACAATCTTATTCTCCATTTTCATCATAAAATTCTCTTTTAAAAATGGAATGAACACTTCATGTTATCCTAAATTCTCCATTTGGAATATAGGAAAGTGCATTCCAACTATGCAGGTTGAGCTGTCAAGTAGAATCCCTTATAGTATTTTTTTTGTTTACTCTAACTACTTTAGATAAATGCATATTATGCACCCTTCATGTTGATCAAAAGTCTAGTAATCTTGTCTTGAAATTGAAATTCATGTTGATGATGCTGATGGAATTTAAGTTAACTCCTAATTCTAAGTGAAACTAAGGTCTAGAATTAATCAAACCAAGCAAACAAGCTTTTGCAAGAAGTTCAAAGTTATCACATCATGAACTAATGTTCATTATGTACCTGTAATCCTAATATGTGATTTGAAGACAAGAATTAGATTTCTTATTATGTGAATTGAGAATCTGCATAAAGAAAGATTTTTAGCAAGATTTCTTGTTGGCATAGTGATGTACGTAATGTTGTGGTAGTAAGTTGAATATGTCAATTCCAATTACATGTTTCAATGAAAGTTATTAGGTTTAAATATACTTTTTTATATCCCTATTTTAATTTAAAATAAGGTTTTAGTTTCCTCATTTTAAAGCCCAGTTTTTTGTTTCCTAGTTAACAACTCTTAAATTTTTTTTAATCCCCCTTTTAATTTTGCAGATGTGGCATAACCATTTAATACGTGAGAATGATGTATCATGGCTTAAATTAAAATTAAAATTGTGTCTATTTTGATTATATATGGAACCTGATTCTTCTACTGTATGGTTCTAAAATGCATGATCATGCTAAAATAAATCAATATATAATAAGCTTCCACTCATGTAGCTTCCATGCTCTCATATAATCAATCCACTGAGGTTCACAATCATCACAATTTCATGCCTCACTACTTCAGTTTTAGCATGCAAAGTATTTCTCGTCCTCTTTAGTATAGATATAAATATGATATAAATTTTCCATTGATGATATCTTGGATATAGGATGCGCAAGATAATTCTTCACAGTGGGACTATGCAAACCTGGTTATGAACTTTTATTTTTATTTTGTGACGTGTCCTAGGGAAATCGCAATAAACTTAGTGGATTAAAATTATAATTTTTTTTACCTGTGATGGATCTGTATGAATGGTCAATAGTCACCATTATATGATTACCTATTGTAGGGAAGAATCTTTGATTGTAAAATTGGATTGACACAATTGCATCACGAACGATAGTACCTCTACTCAGTCCACACAAACAAAACCAACAACGAAAAATTCTTTCGTCTACAATATTAGTTGTGAATGAATGGAAGTCTTAAAGAAAACACGAAGTTGAAATCTTAGTGTAGCTATGATTTTGAGAGTGACTATTATTATAATATAAGGTAGGGGTGAAAAAACAGGCACAACTTGTTCGTTTAACTCGCTGTTTCTAGAGGTCGAGGCAAGGTTTTTGGTCAGTCATTTCTACATTTTTCATTCCGCTCTACTCCATTTTTAACAGACTTTGACGGGATGGGCATGAATGTTTTTGACCCCTAATATAAAGGTTCTAACTATAGAATCACTTATATACACAATACCTTAAGGTATATCATATTTATCTAATTAGTGTTACTGTGTATTGCATGAATGCATCATCAAATTATAGATGAATTTAATTTATTTATTCCC